GTAAATTATACTTCCAGTTGAGTTACTTTACCTTAATCATGAAACTCACTTTAATTCACTTTAAATTCCCAGAAATTATCACTTTAGTGAATAACCTTACCTGTAACAATTCTACAGTAGCAATAACTCACCACTTTTGGACAACTTAAATAGAATTTAGTCCTAAGGACTGTGTGCCCTTTACACTATGATTTATTTGAGTAACAGCCAAAACTAAGTGCTCACCTATAAAGTTGATGGTATGAAAATATGTCAGAATTCTACTTAACTGCGTATTCTTGATCAGGCAATCCATCAGCTACGAAGCACAACCTGAACCTTGCATGGCCACCCTTTGTCCACAGCAGGCATAACTTTTAAGATATTATCTATTTCTGTTCCTGAATATCGACAACATATATTACAAAATATAATGTAAAATGTATCTGCATAGAAGATTTAATTTTACATTCCTTCTAGCTATGAATATATATCTTTAAAAAAATCTTGAAATGCAAATGAAATAATGTACATGTTGCACACGGAATATGTAAATATCACAAATGAAAAAGATATAAAAAGAATTTAATACCTGCATTGTTGATGAACTGGTATAGCTGCTACACTTGAAAAACAACTATCCGTAAAAATAAGAAAAATGGAATAGTAAAATCTAACCCTATTTGCAATTCAAGAACATATTGTTAATGGAAAGAGAAACATTAATTCTTCTGTACCGAATCACACTTGTGCTTAAACCATTATTCTTTTTTGTAATGTACTACAACTAAGTAGTGATATTAAAATATCTAGTTCTTTTCAGAGTCCAGAGTAAAAGATATGCTAAGATGGAAATTAAATCACAATTTCTTTTAAGAGATAAAATTGCTTGTTCTTTCTGCTTCTGATTTTAATAGACTTCTAGAATACAGTGAACAGAGAACTTAAGTAACTGCATGTTTTTGAACATACTTTTTTTAATATAGTTTTCTTTTAGTTTAAACATTCATTAACCCTAGTACTAAGGGAATCTTGCATACACAATTGCAAAGGTAATTCACCAGATTTGTGTATACCCAATTTGTGTATCCTGTACACCAGATTTGTGAATACACAATTTAAACAAATGCAAAAGAAATGTGTTTATTGTAACAATTTAATTAGCAGTTTCTGCACAGACAGCAGAGCTGACACTACCATTATAGACCATTACAGGCCAGTGGGGAGATCTATAGCTCTCTCTGCCCTGCACTGTTCACTGTGCAGATCTGTACCTTCAACTGCCTCTGGTCTACGCCTCCATTGCCTAAGCTCCTTCCCGGTCAGAGATCAGAAGTTTGTATTCAAAGAGATCTACAGACCTACAGTATTCCGGGAGGTGCAGTCCTGCCTTGCAAGCAATCAGACATCCAGGGTGTGACAAACTCCCCTTGTTCTATGAGTTTGCCACAAGTTTTTGGAGGGGCCTGTTTGCCAGCTGCCTACCCTGGGACTATGGCCTCTGTGTCAAATCCTGGTTAGAACCACTGTGTGTGCCCTTTTTAAACTTGTACGGCCACACTTCGAACTTTAGAAGTGACACTTCCAACTCCTGAACTTCCGAAGCCATCCGAAGTGCCATTCAAACACGTGGTGGTGGCGGCCATCTTGTTTAGTTGAACGCATCCAGCTGTGTTTGGTCGTCGAGTGCATAAAACTCAAATCAGACACTCGATGGCACAAACACAAATAAACTTTTACCTTCGATGGAGGTTCGGCTATTCGAACGGGAGTCGAAAGGCGTTCGGTAAAAAGAAACCCACGAACAAGAGACACATAATTACATTATCCACGAATGGCTACATTTGGTAATTCAAACGCTATTTCGACTATTTATGGGGATATGTTGTGTTTTGGGGTACTTATGAGACTTTATAAAATATGCGTTTTTTCTACCTGGAGATAATTGATTAAATACTGTACTTTACTCAATTATCTCCCATGCAGAGGGGAAGGATTGTGTGCGGTGTGTTGTACATTTAACCCCTTAAGGACGGAGCCAAATGTACACATTGTGAACAAAACAAAATGTAAACAAAACCTGGCATTTGCGCTACATGTCTGTCCAACCGTAATACACCTCTTTCATAGTAAATGCACCCACCCTTATTATATATCATTTTATTCAGGGGAAACAGGGCTTTCATTTAATATCAAATATTTAGCTATGAAACATAATTTAATATGAAAAAAATGGGAGAAAATACGATTTTATTGGATTTTTTTAGTTCTACATGACAATTAAACGGTCAGTGTCATAATACTGTTTGCTTTTACTGCAATAAAATACACATATTTGTATTCAGCAAAGTCTCACGTGTAAAACAGTACCCCCTATGTACAGGTTTTATGGCGTTTTGGGAAGTTACAGGGTCAAATATAGCACGTTACATTTGAAATTGAAATTCGCCAGATTGGTTACGTTGCCTTTGAGACTGTATAGTAGCCCGGGAATGAAATTTACACCCATAATGGCATACCATTTGCAATAGTAGACAACCCAAGGTATTGCAAATGGGGTATGTCCAGTCTTTTTAGTAGCCATTTGGTCACAAACACTGGCCAAAGTTAGCGTTAGTATTTGTTTGTGTGTGAAAAATGCAAAAAACGCCAATTTTGGCCAGTGTTTGTGACTAAGTGGCTACTAAAAAAGACTGGACATACCCTGTTTGCAATACCTTGGGTTGTCTACTATTGCAAATGGTATGCCATCATAGGGGTAATTTTCATTCTTGGGCTACCATAGGGTCTCAAAGGCAACGTAACCAATCTGGCGAATTTTAATGTGAAAAAAAATGAAAAGCATAAGCCTTATATTTGGCGCTGTAACTTTTGAAAACACCATATAAAAACCTGTACATGAGGGGTACTGTTGTACTCGGGAGACTTCACTGAACACAAATATTTGTGTTTCAAAACAGTAAAAAGTATCATAGCAATAATATTGTCCGTTTAATGCTGTTTGTGCGTGAAAAATGCAAAAAACGTCACTTTTACTAGCGATATCATCGTTGTAATACATTTTACTGTTTTGAAACACTAATATTTGTGTTCAGCGAAGTCTCCCGAGTAGAACAGTACCCCCCATGTACAGGTTTTATGGTGTCTCGGAAAGTTATAGGGTTAAATATAGTGCTAGCAAATTAAATTCCCTTTACTTTCGGCATGGGTTGTCAGGCAGGTCCTGCTAATTGTAATTAATTAAGATACCTAATTATGTAAATATTACATAAATATATATGTAGAATTAATATATGTATATATATCGTATGTGTATATATATGTATATATCTATATAATTTTTTTTAAATATTTTTATTTATATATAGGTATATATATAGTGTTATATACGTATATATTTATGTGTATAAATATATATATTATTTCGTTCTATGTGTATTTTGATATATATATATATATATTAATTTCACAATACAGTTAGAGCGAAATAACACACATCTATATATTTTTTAATTATTTATTTTTAATTATTTTTTTAATTTTATTTTTTAACGTATTTACATTTTTATATTATATATAAATATATATAACAATAATTATATATATATTTAATCAGTATCAGTCTACGTGTAATTTGATATTAATATATATATATAATTATATATATATTAATAGTAAAATACACCTAGACGATGTACATGTGTGTATGTATATGTGTATATATATATACTTAGATCATATATATATATATATATGATCTAAGTATATATAATTTTTTTTTTTTACACCATTAACTTATTTTTATTTTATTTTCAGCCAGCAGGGGGACCAACTGTAATTACAGGCAGCCCCCTGCACAACTATCTAACCAGCTGTCCCGGCCATGTATTGTGGGGTCTCGCTAGGACCCACTCTCCCCACTACCGGCAGGCTCGGAGGAGACGGTCGTGCCGCGGGGGGCTCCCTGGGAGTCCCCCCCACCGCGATCGCCGGCGTGGGACCGCCGGCGACCGGGTAAGTACAGAAAGACCGGAGGGCGTACTATTACGCCCGGCGGCGTTTAGAGCCGCCTATTAGAGGACGTAATAGTACGCCCTCCGGTCTTAAGGGGTTAATTACTGTGTTGATTGGTTTGTAAGCTTTGTGTCCCTGTCCCCTACAAGGTCCATTTAATTACTGTGTTGATTGGTTTGTAAGCTTTGTGTCCCTGTCCCCTGCTAAGCTATCTGGACTAGGAGAGGTCTACCTACTGGAAGCTGGATCCTGGTCTTGGGTCCAGAGTGGGTGGAGGACGGCGAGACCCCAACCAAGATGCAGTGGTTCATGGTGTTTACGGTGGTTATGGTGTTCCAGTGCAGTGATTATGGTACTCGCAAGTACTAGGAAGCAGCGATTGAAGGAGGTACCTGGTCGGGGTGCCAGGCGGTCCGTCACACTGGGAAATTACTAAACCGCCAGTGAATTGATTATTGCTCCCATTACTGTATGTGTGTATATGTACCGTATTTACTCGAATCTTATGTGTACCTTTTTTGGAAAATAAAGTTTCTAAAACTTAAATTTGCATTAGATCTAATGGCGCATTACATTGTGGCATCATTTTACATTTTCCCGAATAATTAACACAGGCAAATTAAAACTGGTGAATTAAAAACTAGTGGACCTCTCAAGGTTTTTTTTTTTTTGATTTTTAATTGGTGATCAATGCTTTTTGGCAGTTTTGTCATGCATTCATTCTACCACAATTTCACTCTTTCGGTTTAAGTATACCCTTATATATTGTATATGATTTTAAAAGAGAAATAGGACTTCCTTTTTTTTTTTTTATTTTTTTATTCTTTATTTTTGGTCTGATGAAGAGGTCAACACAGAAATATGCAGGTGTACATATGCAAGTGACAGCGCAGTGTCGTACATTGTTACAGAATGAAAGTTGCATTGGTTATTTTAAACACTTTACCGACACTTTATACCCTGCGGACGTCCCCGTCCGATATTTTCGGTTATGCTGGCAAGCACAGTTAACTATATACAATGGTGGTAGTGTTGAGGGGTAGGCGTAGGGAGTAGAGTCGCAGTCCCAGACCTCTTGGGGCCCGTGACTGTTCCCCCGTCTTCCCCCATTGTCTGCAGAGCATAAGCGTATTTAAACCTGAATCCTCTTTCACCAGCTTGCGAGTCTGGAGTGCCTGCTTGTAATAAGTAGGTAGAGATGAGAGATAGGAAAGTATAGACAAGTAAATGCGTTTAGGTGTCGTCTTAGTATGGTTTCCCGAGGGACCAGTAGCAGAGGTCCCCGGGTTCCCCGGGTAGCACTCCGTGTGGTGTGTGTGTCCGTGCCCCTGTCCCATAGTGGCGCCGCTTCCGCCAGTCCAGGCGCTGGTGTAGTATTTAGCATTGGGTATGTCCCAATTATTGCCATTTTTGCGGAGCTCCCGCATGCCGCCCTACGCCCCGATTCAGGATTTAACTGTCGTATTGCTCCCACAGGTCCCAGACCTTCTGAAACTTAGTCATAGTGTTTCGCACCTGTGCTGTTAATTTATCCATTATGTAATTGTCTCGCATTTTTGCCTTGACCAGGGCTATTTGTGGGAGGTCTGGGCATGACCACTGTTGTGCTAGGGCCCTTCGGGCCGCTAGATATAGCATGTTGAGAAGTCTTTGTTCGTGTCTGGGGAGGCCCTCTGTGGGCCTTGATAGTAGGCACGCCCATGGGTCTAGCGTCAGTCGTTGTTTTATGATTTGTGAGCCGAGCTCTACTATGTTACGCCAGTATGCCTTGACCTCTGGGCATTCCCACCACATGTGGATGTATGTGCCCCGTCCCCCGCACCTATGCCAACAGTCGTCTGTGGGGTTCAGTCCCATGTGTTTCTGTTTTACTCGGGTCGTATACCATCGGAATAGCGTCTTATAAGATTGTTCTTGGAGTGTTACACACATTGTGGTTCTGGAGCATGCCTCCCAGATATCTTGCCACTCCGTGCCCTCCAGGACCTCCCCCAGGTCAGCTTCCCATTGGTCAGTGTAGCGTAGCGTGCCCTCCCCTCCCGTTGCCCCATTAAGGTGGTTGTACAGTAGTGTTATAAGTTTAGTTTGTGTAGTTTCATCGTGACAAAGTTTTTCGAAAAAGGTTAGTGGAGTCAGGGCCGCCTTTTGCACTTCGGGATTTTGCGCGAAGTCTCGAATCTGTAGGTACCTGAAATAGTCTCTTGTTTGTAAGGTGGCTTTGGTGCATAGGTGTTCGTATGTGACCACTTTTTGGTTCACAAATAAATGGACATAGCGTTGGAGTCCCATGGCCTCCAGTCCCTTGTAGTCTCGCGCCCTCATGCCTGGGGGAAAATCTCTGTTTCTGAGGACCGGCGCCATGGGAGATAAGCGGGGGCTGAGGGCGTATTTAGTTTTGGTTTGGTCCCATATCTGTATGGAATTGAGTATGGCCGGGTTTGTGGTTCGTAGTATGGCTCTTTGAGTTCTAGGTGCCCATATGAGAAACTGTGGAAGGTCTTGTCCTGTCATTAATGATTCCAGATCCACCCACCGTCTCCTGTCTGGAGGTGCGTGCCATTGTATGACCTGAGTTAGCTGCGCTGCTAAGTAGTAAGCATATAGATTAGGCAGTCCTAGTCCCCCTCTGGGTTTTGGTCGGTACATAAGTTCGCGAGCTATTCTTGGGCGTTTGTTGTGCCAAATGAAGGAATCTATCGCCCTTTGTATGCCTGCGAGGTCTCCTTTGGTAACTCGTACCGGGAGTGCCTGGAAGAGGAACAAGAGCCTCGGTAGCACATTCATTTTTATAGAGTTTACGCGTCCCAGCCAGGAGATGGGCCTGTCTGTCCACTGCTCTAGTTCGGTATGGAGGGTCCGGAGTAGGGGCGTGTAGTTTCGTGTAAAGAGAGAGGATGTATTGGATGTTAGGCGGATCCCTAGGTACATGACTTCGTCTGTGGCGATCTTGAAGTGATATGTGCGGTGTATGTGGGCAACGTCTGGGGGCTCTAGGTGGAAGGGCATTGCCACTGACTTGGAGTAGTTGATTTTATACCCCGCTATATGCCCGAAACGCTCCAGGACTTGTGTTAGATGGTGGAGCGAGGGTATCGGTTCCCTTAGTGTTAGTAGGATATCGTCGGCGTATGCCGAGACCGTGAAGGGTGTGCCACCAATTTCAATGCCTTTAATGTGTGGGTGTTGCCGGATAGCTTGTAGCAGCGGCTCTAGAGTTAGAGCGAATAGTAAGGGGGATAGGGGACAGCCCTGTCTGGTGCCGTTTCGCAGGGTGAAGGGTGTTTTGTGTGCCCCCGTGATGAGTATTTGTGCCCTCAGGTCAGTGTATAATGCTTGTATTGCTGTTACAAAAGTTGTTGGGAACCCCTGGAGACGGAGTAGTTCGAATAAGTAAGGCCACAGCACCCTGTCAAATGCCTTCTCCGCATCCAGTGAGAGCGCCAGAGAGGGCGCCTTGGATTCCCCCATGTGCCATGTTGTGCTAACCCCTCGTCGTGTGTTTTCATAGAGTTGGCGTCCGGGCAGGAAGCCCACCTGGTCCGGGTGGATCAGGCGCGGGAGAAGGGGGTTGAGTCTGGATGCTAATATTTTAGCGAATATCTTGAGGTCGGTGTTAATGAGGGATATTGGCCTGTAGCTGGGGGCTAATGTGTCATCTTTCCCGGGTTTTGGCAGTAGTACTACATTTGCCGTTGCCATATCTCTGTCAGGTTTTCCGCCCTGCATAAAGTGTTTACTGAGGACTGTGAGTGGGGGGGCCAATACTTCTTTAAATTGTTTGTAATAACTGACGTCATATCCGTCTGGCCCTGGTGCCTTATTGCCTTTCAGGGAGGTTATGGCTGCCTCCACTTCGAGTTGTGTGATAGGGTCTCTAAGTGCGTCAGCATCTGCTTGGCTCACTTTTTGGATGGTAAATTCGGTGAGGAATTGGTGAATGCGTGCCATGTAAGTCGCGTTGGTGGCCTGGAGGTGGGGGGAGTGATTGTAGAGGTCTGAGAAATATGATGTAAACACTTCATTAATGGCGTCCGGCGTCTTTGCTAGTGTGTTCGTTGTTGTACGTATTTTCGTTATGGTTTTGCCTTGCGGCCGTGGGCGCAGGACCCTAGCCAAGAGTGTATCTGTCTTATTTGCCTTTTCATAGAATAGGCATTTCGACCACAGTAAGGAGCGCGATACCGCCTCCAGCGTAATGTCCCTGATGGAGTGCCTAAGTGCGTTTAGTTCCCTGAGGTTCGTGTCAGTTGGGCTGGTTTTGTGTTGTTGCTCCTTTTTACGGAGGGCTGACTGTAGGTCGAGCAGCTGTTTTGTTTTGCCTCGCTTTTTTTGGGTGGCTAGTTTAATGAAGTGGCCGCGTAGGACTGCTTTGTGTGCTGCCCAGACCGCGGTGGGGTTAGCTTCGGAAGTAGCATTGGTTTCAAAGTATTCTGTGATAGCCTGTCGGGTCAATGTTTGTATGTTGTCGTCCCTCAGGAGGCTAGTGTTGAGCCTCCGTGACCAGTTGGATTTATAGCATAAGTTGTCTAACGTAAGTGTTACGTCCGCGTGATATGACCACCTGATACTGTTAATGTCTGAGTGGAGGAGTTTGGCCATCCCTGCCCCATTAAGGAGCATGTTATCTATTCTGGAGTAGGTGTTATGTGGTGCGGAGTAAAATGTGTAGTCAGATGTGGTCGGGTGCTGCAGCCGCCAAGCATCCAGTAGGCCTGTGTGTGTCAGGAACGTGTGTAATAGCTTATCTTGGCTCCCCCTGCTCTGTGATCTCACGGTACCAGGTTTTGAGCTTCTATCCGCCGCCGGGCTTGGCACCGCGTTGAAATCTCCTCCAACGATGAGAACCCCCTAGCCCCCGCCACCAGCATCTCTAGGTTTGTCCAGAACAGTTGGTCTGGTTCGTTGGGTGCGTATACGTTAATGATGTGTATTTTTGTGGTGTATAGAGTGCCTCCTATGTATAGGAATCTCCCCTCTGGGTCGGCTTGGATGGTGGTGACGTGTAGGGGGCAGTGTTTATGCAGGAGGATCGCCACGCCTGCTCTCTTACGTTGGGAGCGTGCTTCGTGTACTATCGTGTAGGTTCTGTCAGTTAGTCTGGTGGGCGCCGACCTGGGGAGGTGTGTCTCCTGTATCAGTGCAATGTCAATTCTTTTGGTCTTTAGGTCCCTTACCAGTAGTCTACGCTTGTTGGGGGAGTTAAGACCCTTGACATTAAGGGACAGTACTTTAAGTGCCATGGGGGGGTGCGAACAGTGCCTCTGATGTTGCGGGGTCCCCGGTCCTCTCGGAACCGCGGAGCTCAGCGTGTGTGTGGTCAGTCGTGAGAACCCCTCTCGGTGGCGCGGGCGGCATCCCGGCGGACAATTTGGGTAGCAGATCAATACTTGTCTTAAGAGATAGTGGAAGGAAAAGAGGGAAATGGTGAATGTCAAAGAACCTTTTTAACATACATGCATGTAAACAAATATCATGAACACATGAAAACAATCTGGTCTTAACCTGTGCCAGATTAAGGTGGGGGCGTTCACCCCTTCCGAGTGGCGTGCAGAAAGTCACCTCTCGGAGTTGGTGATCCCCCCGCGTCTGTCCACTATGGTGTGGTGGGCAACCCACATTGCTTCACCGCCCACAGTCTAGGGTGATTCAGTGGGGCGGTAAGCCACTGTGTCTGCCCCTGCGTGCCCTGTGTTTTTCACCCTGGCTGCTTTACCACGGCACCTGTCCCCGGTTCCTGTTATCACACGGGTCACAGGGGTTTTACCCTGGAGTGAAGTGAACCCCAGTCCCATTTGGGTGGAGGATGCCTCAGGAGGGTTTTGTTGTTTATTTATTTTTGTTTATTTATTTATTTTTATTATTTTTATTTATTTATTTTATTTTATTTATTTTTTTTCAGCTATTGTTCCCTTGGGGGGAAGGTGTAGGTATTCCCTGCTGTGGTGTTAGCGGGTGCGTAGTGCCTCCCGGTTATGGTGTCTAGATGCCAACGTTGCTTTTGTGGCACTGCCAGGGGCTTCCTGGTTAGGTGGTGGTGGGGGTTGGGGTATGTACAGGTGGTCCCCGCGGGTTTAGCCCCCCGGGTCCTAGCGTGCTGCTGTGTGTCTGCTTCAGCCAAATTCGTGTGTGTTAGGTATGAAGTCTATCTGCTCTCCCCTCCCCCCCCTCCGGTAGAACATCCCCAAAGCTAGTAACTGGGCCATGAAGAGGGAGACTACGAAAAAGAAGAAAGGGAATGTAGCGGAACGCCAATAATAAATCCACGAATTCCGCTGGTTCAGAAACGAATCCACAGTCAAGCGCTGAAACAACAAGGCAATATCCCCAACCTCCCAATAACCGGACGAGACACAGTTTTGGGAGTCAACTGAAATCCTGTTAATCGGCAGGACAATTTATACAAGTCCCCATGCAAGGGGTTTCCTGAGTCCCT